TCCAATTTATGATGTCTTTGAAATACTGTTTTGAGATGGTTTTATAATATCTATTGTATTTTGAGATTATTGTTCAATAATCTCATGACAAAATGACAAATGAATGAGAAACACATTAAGAGGATCTTACAGCCGTCTGTGTTACCGACTAAACCATATAATTTTTTGTATAACAATTGCTTTTTTCTCTTTTTCAGTTTCAAAAATCCTTTATCAGGATTGAAGTATACGCATTAATACGTATCTGTGAGATAGAGTTCATGTCAAAAACAATAAAAAATTTTAAAATTGAGATCTTTACCACTTATTTTAAGCGCTTTAGCTGTCACGTCGTGACAATATTTGCTTCACATAAAAGCTGTTCAATCTGTATTTACGAAATAGTAGTCCATCGAAATAATAGTATGCACGAAGAAACAATGTGGAGTTTATCACCTAAATATGAGAAGCGCCATTTGACGGTCAAAATTAGATGTTAAATTAATTAATACAGGTACGCATATTCTTCTAGATGAATTTATCTCAGAAATATGATGGCGCGCCATTACTATTGGACTTTCAACACAATCCGTCTGAAATATTATATTATATAATTATCCCCCAAATTTAATTACATACATCTTAAAAACCTATAACGAACTTATTCCGAAAAATATTACCTCGGCCGCGGGAGTTAAACCCGGATCTATAAATAAATTAAATAAATTTAGAAGATAAATCCATAAATGTTACATGCCGCGTAAGGAGAATCACATGCACGACATACTCGCACATGCCTCACACTCGCGAAACGCTCCCGGAAGAAAACACACAACTTTAGAAATGAAAACGTGAGATTTATTTTATCATGTCAAAGCTCAGAACAAAATTAAAGAACAAAAGCAACTCATCGTTCGGGCATGATACCGACATGTGCAACGATGCAACACTCGCAAAAATAAGACATTTATTTAGAAGAATTATACGTACATACATGTACTAATTAGTTCAACATCTAACTTTGACCGTCAAGTGGCGCTTCTCGTATTTAGGTGACACATAAACGGTCTTATTTCCAATCTTATTAATGTGAAGTTCTTAGAATTGGATTTGGATATCTAATAAAACATTGTTATACGACAATTTATGTGTATGTGTGCATGAGATATAGATGTAATAGTTTGTAATAATGTGTTAATGACATGTAAATCATTTGTGAATTGTGTGTAAGGTCTACTTATACTACGAGTAGTTATCTTTAGGATCCCCTTAACAAAAAGAAAAATGCAAAAGAAGAACTAGAGTTGTTTAATAAATGAATATATTAGTAACTTAATATTTATAACTCAAATTATCATCGAGTTTTTTTATGTATTATTTTATTATGTGTGTATATTCATACATACGTGCACGCGTACAATTATTAATTATTATGTATTAAAAATATATAATAAAAATATATATAATTAAAGAGAAGTATTAAGGGAATGCTAAAGTTGCTCTACTTTACCATTATTTCCATTCGGTGAAATATCTCCGAATTGAATTGACGGATTGCAAAAAATTGTTTTTACAGAATTAAAGTACGTGCACAAACAGGACCTCAGCTGTATCGGATTTTAGGAGAAAATCGAAGAAAAGTTTAAAAATTCGCTTACTTTTAGCTCGTACAGCTGATACCTCAGGTCTATATTTGCTTCATACAAGAGTTTTATAGCTTATATCTTGAAAATAAGCATAAGTCTGAGGTCATATTATTGTAACGAACGATACCAAGTTTATAGAACTAAGATTAAAAGTCTAGAAGAAAAGTAATCCTACCGAATAGAAAATACATATATACGGGTACTTTGCGAAGACTGGGACTGTCAACAGAGTCGAAATTCCGTGTAGTAATAGTAATAATTTTTTATAATTTAAAAAAGATGTTTGTATTTATCTATTATATATTTGAAGAATGTATAACTTATTATTAATCTTTATCTAATTGTGTAAATCATCAAAGAGAGCAATAAAAATTGAGATATAATGTTGGGACGTCATAAACATTTAACGTGAGCAATTATGTAAAAAAAAACTTTTTGCCTCTTGCCTTCCGTCAGCACATTAAGTAATTGGTACGAAATATTTGAAACTATAAAATGAATACCAAATATGTTCTTCAATGTATGTATCACAATGTAATTATTATCACATTAATAGTATCACATTAAACGACTCGCGTCACTTAAAACTAAACTGCTGAGTTCTCAGGAAATCGATATAAGGAACTATTTCATTAATTCCGCGACGAAATACTAATTGGAGATTAATTCTATTGAAATAAACTCTTAATAAAAGAATTTTACTTCTCTTATGTAAAGATTAGATAAGTTTATTTAAATCTTGTTCTATAAATAGAATTCATTTAGAACAATATTACAAGTAGATAAGAAAAATTAAGGCAAAAATAAAAATGATTATTTTTAAATATTAATTGATATATGAAACTTATATGTATATAATTTTATATTACAAAAAGATTAAAAATCTATAGAAAAAATTACTTTTACATATTTAAATACGGAATAAATGTAAATATTACGTTGCTTTTCAAATAGTGAGATGTATAATACATCTAAAGTCGTTATGTTAATCAAGATTAAAGTTAATTAATACACTACTAAAAATGGTGTATGCACGTTTGGCCCATTATTTCTCCCACGCCAAAATGTAACATGAATTTCTCAGTGTGTATATGTATAAACCCATACAGAATAGATCTCCATGGCATGTTTTAAGGATATGCAGAAAACGTTCCAAGTCCTAAGAATATCCCAGAATATCCCTCGGATAAAGTATTCTGTGTGGAGATAAGACGTTAGACGTTGTGAAATAGATTTTATTGTTTGACAAAATGAACTACGATGAACACTCGTAACATTTCGTAGAACGGTGTCTTGCTGTAAGAGAATAGCGTGTATATGTAAAAATAATGTGTGTATCCGATATGAGCGTAAAAGAATATATATATATAACTGCTAATATTTTGTTTCTCTAATCCCAGACAGAGAAATCGGAGAGGGACTATCCTCGTATTTTTCGTAGGTCCATCAAAATCACGCATAATAGCACAAGTATGTAAATTCATTTTCGATGTAGGAACTTATGTATAGTTATGTACTGGCGATAAAATCGCGGTGTTGAAAATGGATATGCATAGGCCGTATTCCAATATATACCAGAGAAAAGCTTGAAAGAGGACATGAGGACCTTTTTCCTGTAACCGCAAATTGCTCCCGCGCACTCCTGCCCTCTGAAGAAGTAGATGATTGAATATCAAAACAAGTTAATTTAGCAAATTTTGTCTTATATTACGCGTGTGCATAAGTGACTCGATAAGTCTAATGCCTTTTTACCACTGTAACCTCTAAAAATATGAGGACATGTTGAGTATATTAAAAATTACCAAGATTAACAGAATGCACGGATTTGCTACAATTTTTGGGGAGATGTTGTTTGTAGTGTCACAAAGTTCGAAACTTTCCTTTTAATTAAAAAAAAACAATGCAAGCTGCTGCGATTACTTTTCTCAAAGTTACAACACTTTAAAGTAATCTTTGCATTTTTTACATGTAGTAGTAACATTATCATTATCGGATACGTCTCAGCGAGAAATAGTTCATCGAATCAGTCCATTCGACATCGAAATGATGATTTTGAACGAAATATATTGCCACAAGACGTCTAAAAAATGGATAACGGTTTACAAATAAATTTATCCATTAGAACAACGAGAATGGGTGTATTCAGTACCACGATCGCTCACTGAGCGCTCAGTGAGTTCTTGCATTTGATTGGCATATTCCGTTAGAACTAAAAAAATAGACCAAACAGATACAAGAGCTCACTGAGCGATCAGTGAGCCGTCATGGTACTGAATGCTCCCAATGTATACGTTTTGGCCATTATTTGGGACTTCTTCAGTACATTAATAATAAGAAATAACTGTCTAATATTATATATTTATTAATAAAGTCATGATATATTATACATATACATACTATCGGATTAACAACTAATTAATCTTACAATATATTAAATCTTTATACATGTATAGTCTAAGGTAATTTTCAGCCATAATGGTCGCGTTCTGCAGACTCAACTGTTGTGGAGCGGATCCGTGAGCGCTCACTGCTATTGGTGTATTCTTTTAGATCATCCAATAGCAGCGAGAGCTCATTGATCCGCTCCGCAACAGTTGAGTCTGCTGAACGCGATCATTGATAAATTGTTGATAATATGTAATCATAGTGCTTTCGTCCTCTAATATATAAATCTATAGATAGATCGAAAATTGCTACATTTACAGAACAAAGATATATTATACGTTATGTCAATTATGTAAAATATAAATAGAAAGTAATAATAAAAATTTTCCAAGTAGCACACAGCGCTTACAAAGCGTTAATAAAGCGCTAAAAAGCGCATATTATAATTGCCTTTTTAACGTTTCGCAAGCGCTGTGTGCTACTTGAGTTACATGTAACTGCTGTACGAAACATATTCGAGGTCCTGTCTATCCAAAGGATCTAATAAAACAATAAATTAATGTTGACCTAAGAAGAATTGGAGAGAGGGAAACAACAAGTCATAATAAATAAAAATATGTATAGGGTCTAAACAAACGGAAACAGAGCTCTTACATAGCATACCATGTTACAGTATCAAACACATTATTGATGGAAAAAGGAACACGCCGAAAGATTGTACTATTATATAGAGAGAAATAAGAGGATTTTTATGCAATTATTTTGCAATTAACATACGATTTGAGTTGTATAAATATATAGATCTGTTACATCTCGTGATAAAACAGATTCAAACTTTAGAAATATCAATATTTATGTATGCTCCGTTAAAGAATCACATGTACACGTCTCTGTAATTGACCTTCTCAAAACAGTTTCTGCAAACGCTTTTTCACATCGTTTCCGAATCATCTGTGATTAGTCACTAATGTTCTGTACACAGCGATTATAATGGCAGAGACAGAAGCAGGAGACAATTTGATTCCAGTTCGTCGTTGGATCCGTAGACATTACACGAAATTGACAAGGAGTAGCGAAGCAAGATGCAATCATTGTAATGAAAAATTTAGTATACATCTAAAACGCTTAGCTACTTTATATAACCACTTGATAGAAGGACATCCAGACAAATTAATAGAAGAAGAAAAGAATGAAGTTAAATTCCATTGGGCTTGGGACTATTATATCGTAAAAAGCAGTACAGAAGCAACATGTAAACAATGTAAAGTAACAGTGAGATACAAGCAAGTAAATGAATTGAAAATACATTTAAAAAGAATTCACGGGTAAGTATCTCATATATAAGTAACTCATATATAGTAAAAAATTTAAAAACGTACTAAGAAATGTAAAGTTGATTACAACAAAATAATCAATATTTGCTAAAGATAATTCAGTCCAAACAAGAGTATCCATTTGTCGAAAAATTTGTCAAATATGCGTGTCAGTAAATGTAATATAAAACATATCTATTCGTACTATATATGCATAAATATTCTGAGTCTTATTTTGTATAAAGTGCATTCTAGAATTCGAATTTACTTTCCATGTTTAAAAAGAATTAGTAATATTTGATTAATCTAATTTTTACCGAGGAATGGTCAGATTAACAAAATATTTGAATCTACTTGATCGCTACAATCATGATCGCTTTTAAATGTTCCAGTAATAAGAGTCTAAAAAACGATATTTTTCAAAATTTTCACATAATAGAATATTGTGTATAATTGAAAATAATGTCTTTATAGCATTTTTAATATCGCTTTTTTTATAACTTCTTATACATATAAATGTAGGATGTCAGGTCCAACTTCAGATAACGTAATAGATAACGAAAGCAGTTCAGATGAAGACATGGATGCAAACAAGGACGTAACTCTAAGAAAAGCAACACGTCAAGATACTTCATCGAACTTAACAAACTTATCCGACAGTTTAAACGAATCTACAGAAGGAATAAAAGGACTTAATAAGTAATTAAAATCGCTTTCAAGTGACTACATCATATATAAACAGATTTTATAAATTAAACGTGATATTTCCTATACAATATAATCTATCTATTATGAGAAATATTTATTTATTGTTTCATCAGTTACATGTATAATAATTAACTAATTAGATGTTATTCTTTTAGGGAAGCACAAAACGATTTCGTACCGGTTCGGCTCTGGATGCGTGCACATTACACAAAATTGAATAACGAAGCAAGATGCATTCATTGTAACAGAAAATTCATTATACATATTAAAAAGTTATCTGGTTTGCATAAGCACTTGGTAGAGTCACATCCAGACAAATTAGCGGAAGAAGAGAAGAATGAAGTGAAATTCCAATGGGCTTGGGACTATTATATCGTAAAAAGCAGTACAGAAGCAACATGTAAACAATGTAAAGTAACAGTGAGATACAAGCAAGTAAATGAATTGAAAATACATTTAAAAAGAATTCACGGGTAAGTATCTCATATATAAGTAACTCGTGTATAGTAAAAAATTCAAAAACGTACTATGAAATGTAAAGTTGATTACAACAAAATAATCAATATTTGCTAAAGATAATTCAGCCCAAACAAGAGTATCCATTTGTTGAAAAATTTGTCAAATATGCGTGTCAGTAAATATAATATAAAACATATCTATTCGTACTATATATGCATAATTATTCTGCAGTCTTATTTTGTACAAAGTGCATTCTAGATTTCGAATTTACTTTCCATGTTTAAAAAGAATTAGTAATATTTGATTAATCTAATTTTTACCGAGGAATGGTCAGATTAACAAAATATTTGAATCTACTTGATCGCTACAATCATGATCGCTTTTAAATGTTCCAGTAATAAGAGTCTAAAAAACGATATTTTTCAAAATTTTCACATAATAGAATATGTATAATTGAAAATAATGTCTTTACAGCATTTTTAATATCGCTTTTTTTATAACTTCTTATACATATAAATGTAGGATGTCAGGTCCAACTTCAGATAACGCAATAGATAACGAAAGCAGTTTAGATGAAGACATGGATGCAAACAAGGACGTAACCCTAAGAAAAGCAACACGTCAAGATACTTCATCGAACTTAACAAACTTATCCGATAGTTTAAACGAATCTACAGAAGGAATAAAAGGACTTAATAAGTAATTAAAATCGCTTTCAACTAACTACATCATATATAAATAGATTTTATAAATTAAACGTGGTATTTCCTATACAATATAATCTATCTATTATGAGAAATATTTATTTATTGTTTCATCAGTTACATGTATAATAATTAACTAATTAGATGTTATTCTTTTAGGGAAGCACAAAACGATTTCGTACCGGTTCGGCTCTGGATGCGTGCACATTACACAAAATTGAATAACGAAGCAAGATGCATTCATTGTAACAGAAAATTCATTATACATATTAAAAAGTTATCTGGTTTACATAAGCACTTGGTAGAGTCACATCCAGACAAATTAGCGGAAGAACAGAAGAATGAAGTGAAATTCCAATGGGTTTGGGACTATTATATCGTAAAAAGCAGTACAGAAGCAACATGTAAACAATGTAAAGTAACAGTGAGATACAAGCAAATGAGAAGTTTGAGAAATCATTTAAAAAGAATTCACGGGTAAGTATCTCATATATGTATAAGTATCTCATGTATAGTAAAAAATTTAAAAACGAACTATGAAATGTAAAGTTGATTACAACAAAATAATCAATATTTGCTAAAGATAATTCAGCCCAAACAAGAGTATCCATTTGTTGAAAAATTTGTCAAATATGCGTGTCAGTAAATATAATATAAAACATATCTATTCGTACTATATATGCATAATTATTCTGCAGTCTTATTTTGTACAAAGTGCATTCTAGAATTCGAATTTACTTTCCATGTTTAAAAAGAATTAGTAATATTTGATTAATCTAATTTTTACCGAGGAATGGTCAGATTAACAAAATATTTGAATCTACTTGATCGCTACAATCATGATCGCTTTTAAATGTTCCAGTAATAAGAGTCTAAAAAACGATATTTTTCAAAATTTTCACATAATAGAATATGTATAATTGAAAATAATGTCTTTACAGCATTTTCAATATCGCTTTTTTTATAACTTCTTATACATATAAATGTAGGATGTCAGGTCCAACTTCAGATAACGCAATAGATAACGAAAGCAGTTTAGATGAAGACATGGATGCAAACAAGGACGTAACCCTAAGAAAAGCAAAACGTCCAGAAGCTTCATCTAACTTAACAAACTTATCTGACAGTTTAAACGAATCTACAGAAGGAATAAAAGAAGTTAATGAGTAATTACAATCGCTTTCAACTAACTACATCATATATAAATAGATTTTATAAATTAAACGTGGTATTTCCTATACAATATAATCTATCTATTATGAGAAATATTTATTTATTTTTTCATCAGTTACATGTATAATAATTAGATGTTATTCTTTTAGGGAAGCACAAAACGATTTCCTCCCATTTCGGCTCTGGATGCGTGAACATTACACGAAATTGACAAGGTGTAACGAAGCAAGATGCAATCATTGTAATGAAAAATTTAATATAGATGTACATCAGTTAGCTGCTTTACATAAGCACTTGATAGAAGCACATCCAGACAAATTAGCGGAAGAAGAGAAGAATGAAGTGAAATTCCATTGGGCTTGGGACTATTATATCGTAAAAAGCAGTACAGAAGCAACATGTAAACAATGTAATAGAACAGTGAGTTGCAAGCATATAAAAAATTTGAGAAGTCATTTAAAAAGAATTCACGGGTAAGTATCTCATATATAAGTACCTCGTGTATAGTAAAAAATTTAAAAACGTACTAAGAAATGTAAAGTTAATTACAATAGAATAATCAATATTTGTTAAAGAAAATGTAACCCAAACAAGAGTATCCATTTGTCGAAAAATTTGTCAAATATGCGTGTCATCAAATATAATATAAAACATATCTATTCGTACTATATATACATAAATATTCTATAGTTTTATTTTGTACAAAGTGCATCCAAGAAGTCGAATTTACTTTTACCATGTATAGAAAGAATCAATAAAATTTGATCCCTTTAATTTTTGTGCCGATAATAAATAAGGATATATCCTATTCTGTAAAGAAAACTGATTGCTTGATCTTCTTTTAAATTTCCACTTATAGGACCCTTAAAAATGATAATGTTGACCGTACAATGTAGTAGATTGTATAATTTTTAATCATACTTTTTATCAATTCTTCAATTACTCCTTATGTAAATGTAGGATACTCGGTCCCCGGTTCAGATAATCACATGGATAATGAGAACAATTCCAGTAATTATGTGGATGCAGACAGGAATACGACTATAAAGGAAGCAAAATATCAAGAAGACTTATCTAACTCAATTGGTTCATGTAGCATTTCATATGAAAAAACAGGAGGAACAGAATGTCTTAACGAGTAATTATTTATTTTACGTTTGTTAAAATATATGCATAATATATACATACATGTAAATAGATCTTACGAAATAAACATTGCTTTTTCCATACGAAGATGATCTATAAGGCAATATGTGGAATATATTAAGTGTTTAACTATTTCGTCTTTTAATAAGCAAAAAATCAAAATTACTTTTCTATGTAGTCATATTACCTATATTATTACATTTGGTATCATATGTTAGATACTTATATAATATGTTATAATATCTTTCTTCATAATTCTGGAAATATACATATTAACCCAAGTAATGTACTAAATTAAACATTATGATTGCACATGTTAAACTGTTTATGTATGATAAGTAGAAGAATAGAGAAAGTTTAAGAAATATTGGCAAAATTAAAAGAGAAAAAAAAACAATTTACATTTATACCTTTCTATCGCATGAACAATTATTTCAAAAGATATAATCGAATAGCACATAAATAAATGTGTATCAATTTGTCTTCTTATTTAAAATTCGTAATTAATATAATATTATACATGAGTAGTTTCTTACTTGCAATGTGCAATGCATTTGCCTTCATTCCTAATTCTACTTACATTAATATGTATACGTTTAATTTTTGTTTTTGTTCGCGATGTACATACATGTATGTATATACTTTTGTGCAATAACCTTTTTTTAATTCTTTTTCTTTTGTTTCATTTTTTATGTATTAAAAAATGTGTTTATATTTATGCACTTTATTTTATAATTAAATCAGAATCCAACGATGAACCTTATACTACTTAGTAAACAAGAAACGTTTTGAAACATTGCAGCAACGTTGTAACTGAAATGTTTCAAAATGTTTCTTGCTTACTTGGCATATGTTTTGCATATAGTATAATATCTTATCAAGCAATAAATTGTAGAGAGATTATTCCTGTAAACAATACATAAGCAACAAACATTCAATTTAATTATTGTCCTGGCGAAAAAATTTTATCAATAATCATAAAAATTTACACTATCGTAAATTTATGTAGTAATTTGTGTTTTTCTTTGAAATCTTTCTTTTTTATCTTTTAAATATTTATTTTTATCTTTATCGTGTAACTTTGTCTGCCCAATAATATTAAAATTATAATTTTCTAAAATCAAGAAATAATATAAAGATATTATTTCATGAAAAATTACAATTATTAAAAAACAAAATAAACTTACAAATTTTGAAAATTGAATGAATGAGATTTTAACATTTTACTCACTTGTAGAATACTATAATTATTTATAAATGACCGTGGAAGTATCTTCTAGATAATCCATGTATAATAATTATGGGATTTGGAATTCAAATTTTGTTTTAAGTTCCCATAAAAGATTTCATTTTTATAGGCATATCAACAAAAATTAGTGTTTCAATTCTAACACTTTTATATAGATTTTTGCAGCGTCTTTCTGATTCGTGTAAAGTTTCGTAGATTTTGACAATTTTTTTTTAAGTTTTTTGTAGTATATATCCTTATCCTTTTTGTAGAATTTTTTACAATATGTTTCGCCAGGAAAATTCTGATATTGATCGTATATTTAAATCTATTTATATTTAAATTTATAGATGTTAAAAGTAATAGTTGTCGTATAATTATGGAATAATATAATTATAACATTAAATGCCAAATACTTTATCACCTTATTAAATTTTTGTCATCACATTGTATCTCAACACAGATTCGTACCGAGCCCTTCAAATTCAATGGATCATACTATGGAGAGCCTTTTGGATACAGATTTGACAAAACAAGTATTATCATCTAATTTAGATGATTTTTCTTTCGATGAAAACTTTGACCTCCTTGGCGAAGAATAATTCATGCTATTTTTTACAAAACAAATACATTTATTGACAATTGAATTGACGATTTCGAAACTGGATTAACATTGCGCAATATTTAAACATTTTCGCCTTCTACCGCAGTTTTCTTATGGGAAAGTACTTTTGGACAAAATGGCTTCAATCTGTCTTTTTCATGGTTTTAATTTACTAAAAGACCGTTTTCGGTCTTGCTTTTATCGATTAGACTGATCCAATTTCTTTATGCTGTACTGTACTAACAAAAGTAATTGCGGTTACTTTGATGTTATATAGACGTGCGTTATGAAGATGAGAAACGTTTAAAAAATCGGAAAATGACTATAATATTATACAAAACGTATAATACATGTTTATATTACTATTCATATATACATATACTCGTATATATATATATATTTAATAAACATATATTCCTAACAATTTAAACATTTTTCATGTTTTTTATATACAAATGAAATATTTATACTAAATGTATATTAAAAGGCAATGTAGCAACATGTTATTTTTCATAATAATCAATATGAGGTCATTTGAGTTCCAATATTTCGGAACCTGTTGATCTTAGGACCATGTGCTCATTGAGACTTTTGATCAGGATACCATAAACTACCACATACTAAATTTTCAACCATTTTGACCGAAAGTACTTTCCCATAATAAAACTGCGGGGTCCTTTGTATTTAGTTTATTTCTTTATTATTCAAATAAAAAAACATGATCTATACATATTTTGGTTGCCCTAGTGATAATATAATCAGTCATCTTTAGTATCCTAACAAATTTTTTAATTTTTCTTCATTCTTTTTCATTTCATATATTCAATCCAGTTTCTGTTTATTTAGTAATTCTATTTCGTTTATTGGAATGATCGATACCTTTATTATTATGGAGCAATCACGTAAAGAAATTATTTTTTAAATGTGTCTCATTTGGCTAAAGTAATTAAAATCTTTTCATTGTGATAGACATCGTCGTGTATGATTCATGCCAGATTCCTGCACCAACTTGAAAGATAAATTATTTCGTAACTATTTGTTTTTTAAGACTGACACATGATCTTTCATGTAACACTTAGGAATCACACATGATTAGTACTATATTCTTAGATGATCCTATAAAGAAATTATTTTTTAAGAGTTTTGTATAATGTTAAGGTAATATCTTTTCATTGCGACATAAATCATCTTAAACGATTCATGCCAGATTCTTGTATATCAACTTGGAAAATAAATTATTCCGTAACTATGTCTTTTAATACTGATAAATAATCTTTTTCATGAAACACTTCATAATCATATATAATTAATACCATATTCTTAGATGATCCTGTAAAGAAATTACTTTTTAGAAGTTTCTTATAAGATTAAGACAAGATCTTTTCATTGCGATATAAATCATCGTGTACGATTAATTTCAGAATCCTAATACTCATTAAAACTTTCTGAGATTCACGTACAAATTATATAAGATTCTTATATGATCATTTACATTCATTTAGTAATCTTGATTGATCACATACAATTCTTTTAAGATCTGGTATAAAAAGCTTACAAGAATTTTCAATAGGGTAGGCGGTCCTATCCTGGTCATGTTCGTAATATATTACTGCCAGTTGATTGTCAGTACTGAAAGTCTATAGTTCCCGTTACGTATACTATACTGTACTAACAACTGGCAGTAATATACGAACACGGCCCCTGTCGCGAGCTTACATTTGGCGGTAGGTAGAGATCCTCAAGTAAGAGATGAGCGAATTGAAAGAAAATCGCTATGGGATTGGTTGATGACGACGTTGCAAGAATATGGCGCAACCAATGGCGCAATCGTATTTTATTCCTACTTACATAAAATAAAACGTAGCGGACATAAATCTAACTAAGTGAATATATGATATTCACTTCGTTAAATTTATGTTTGTCGCATCTTTACTTTGTGAGTATACTTACTAGAAAACGATATATATTAAAAACAAAGGGAGTAGGAAAAACGTAATGTATAAAGCGCAATGTTCACACATATATGATTTTATTTTGAGAATACACTTTATGATTTTATTTAGAGAATACTTGAGGATCTCTAGCTGAGGGGCACAGAATTTTGCATATCGCATAACGCATAATTAGAGATGTAAAAAAAACGGTATTTTTTTACTTCAGAGAAAAGGTTCAAATAAGAAAATTAGTTTTTTACTATAAATAACGGTATTTTTGTACAAATTACATAAAATTTATGAAAAAAACGTATAATTATTTCAATATACAATAGTTATTTGAACGACAAATATTTCATATATAAAAGTTAAATATAAGATCCGGGTTCGACTCCCGGCCGAGGCATTATTTTTCGCAATAAGTTTATTACAGTTTTTAAGTTGGAAATTTTGGGGGATTATTAATATTTCAGATTTGATTGCGTTGAAAGTCCGACAACCATATCGACACGCAATTATAATTTCTGAAATGAGCTCATTTAAAAATGAATTTAAAAATAGTTCAACATCTTACTATAACATTCAGACCGTTATTGGCACTTCTTAGTTTAAAATAATGTAATTAAATAGAAATGATATTATTAATATAGATAACACTTTATAAGCATAACAGATACTGTTTTTTTGCATGTTGGTTATAATTGTACTCTATATTTTAATTATTTTGTATTCTATATTTTATTTACTTTGAGACAACATCCCAATATAATATTGATTCAAGAATAATTGGAGATTCGATGAATATTGTCTCACAAATTTAAATTTAGAATATGTACAACATACAGTATACGCGTATACAATCACAGAATACGACAAAAACAGTGTCAATTAGTCTAATAAAGTATTATTTGTATTAATAACAGTATGGAACACTTACTTAACTTTTAAAATTGAAGTACAGTATAAAACATCATTCAAATAATAGTGAAAGGTAAGGTATATTTATAGCCATCGACATTAAACCATATTAATCATTATACTATATTTTAACTTTTTAACTATTTTTAGAATTTTTCCGTCGTTTACATCTATACGCACAATGCATAAGAAACTATACCAATCAAAGTCCTTGAGGACTTTGCATGTTATCTGGGTTCATTTCCTTCTTTTCTGTAAAATAAAGGACTCTGGATTGATATTTTTATATTTTATGCATTATACGAAGATTTG